AGTGCGAGATTGCCGCGCCCGCATGCCCTTCATGTTTATTGCAAGGAAGCTCTACGAGTTCCCGGCAGTAACCATGGTTGACGGTTTACCGCCGGCTCCAGTATGGTATATTTCAGCTCAAAATCGTCGCGATGGCGCGCAAGCGGCGGTGGTTCGCCGCAGCTGCCGCTAGAGTGCTCGGCCGCGGCGGCCCTGCCGGCGTGCCCACCCGCGGCGCGCCTCGCGCCTGTCCGGATCCAGCCTCTTTCGCTGGCCGCGCCGAGCGTTATCGTGCAGGACCTGGTGGCGCGAGTCGCGCGGAGATCTTTCGCGCGGCGATTCGGGCGAGGGCGAAGCTGCCTTGCCGCGGTTGCCTGGCAGACTCCGCAGTGTGACCCGAACTTCGAGATTGCGGACATTCGGCAGACAACCGAGAGAATGCCGCTGGGGCGCGCTGGGCCCGCGGGTCCCTCGGGCCGACGTGCTGGCGCGAGGCGGTTGTTTTGATTTCCCTGGCGGGTCGCGCCGCCCCTGGGTATTGGGCCTCCTGGCTTGCTGATGGCTCCTGCGGGATACCTCTCTCGTTGAGTTGGACAGGCGCGACGTCGCGCTGAGGCGGGCGAGCGTGTCCCCGCACCCGCGCGTCGACAAGTCGCAGCATCCCACAGTATCAAGGGCCCTTGGCTGGTGCGATGCGACCCTTCTCTTGCGGGTGCTTCGATCCCTCTTGTCTTCTTCGGCAGCGCGCGGGTGAGTTGGGCTGCGCTGCTCTTCCCGCGCGTCGACTTCCAGCGGCCGGCGGAGGGGGGCATGAGGGGGTGGGTTGACGCCGCGGCTTCTGCAAGTGGCTTCATCACAACCTCGCAGGACGGTGCTCGAAGGTTTGATCGCCATGTTTGGAGCCGCGCGGGCGCCCGCCGGCTGCGTCGCTTGGTGCCGCGCCAGCTCATAGCCGTGCTCGGAAATTGAACCAGCGCCGCATTGGGCTATCCTGCCCTGGTAGGGCAGCAGGCGACGGCGGCGGCCAGCGGCCTTGCCTGCGGGAGTGGCTGGTCTGCTGGTCGAATCGCTCGGAGGTAGCCGTCGTCGTCCGGTGCGGTGGCGGCAGATGCGGCGGCAGAGGCCGGGCAGGAGGTCGCCAGCGCTCCGGATGGCGTCAGGGTCGTAAATGGTGGGCGTCTTGGCGTCGCGCTGGCGCAACATCTGCCAGCTGGTGCCCATGAGTCGGCAGCGGAGGCCGAGTGCGAGGACCGAGGCATCAACTGCGAGCTGGAGGTTCCCGATTGCGAGCTGATGCTCCCGCGCGCTTGAGCTGCGACCTCCTTGGTCCTTGCTGCGCGCGCTGCCACCTGCAGGCGGTGTTTATCAACAGCAGTCCGGGGGGGCGCCTCCAAAGCGGGGAGTGCTCGAATTACGGGGCTTTCCATTTGCACATTTCGTGCCTTGAGGGTGGGCGATGCGGCGCTGGCGAAGTCCCGCGTGGCAATGGGAGGGCGCTGGGCGGCTGGGCGCCAGGGCACTGTGTGGGGTCTTCCTGGAGCAGGGCCGAGTCTCTCTGGTGGCCGTCGCGGGCCGCGATGTGCCGGCCAGCTCTTGGCGCATTCTGTGTGGCGTCGCAGAAACTGGGTGCGCGCCTCCCGTCCAGGTGCCGACCTGTCCAGTCTGCTCGGGGAGAATGGCCAGGACCCACGCGAAGGCGTAGCCGCTCGTATTTCGGCACCCGCCTGGGGAAACTTTCTGGCCGCGCCGTGCTCTAGGCGGATAGCGGTGCAAGCTCTCGTGTCCACGAGTCGTTGATGCCCTCGCTTAACTTTTTCTCGCTAGGGCGGCGGCAGGTGGGCCTTGAGCGCCTCCTTGGTGCCCCCAGGGGTGGGACAGGAAGGCCGTTGTCTTCCCCCTGTGTTGGGGCGCCAGTGCGGCTGACCTGTTGGGTGGGCTCGCTTGCGAGGCGCGCCGTCGCCAAAGAACGAAGAGACGGGGGGGGCTCCCCGAAATGACAATGATGACTGAGGCAACGGTTGTTGCGGAGCAGGCGAACTGCGGGGAGTAACAACCAGCCGGGGACATCCTGGTCTGTGCTGGGTCCGAGGGTGGATCTTGTCCGCCTCCCCAGGGCTTCGCAGCGGCCGCTGTCCACCGAGGGCGTGTCGAACGTTTCGCAAGGTGTGCTGCCCGCGTCTGCCGCTCGCCGGGTGTCCGTGGCCATGGGGGCTCTACACGCGACTCGGTGGCAGCCCCCTCCCCTCGTCTGCTGCTTCCCAGTAGTCCCGCCCAGCCCGAAGCTCTGCGGGGGGGGGTCAGGGTCCGGTCCTGTGCAGGTTTTTGCGTGTAAGGCCCCACGGGCCGTGGGCGCCTCCCACGTGCCCTCAGGGGTGGCGCAGGGAGGCCGTAGGCTCCCCCCCCCCTGTGTGGGGGCGCCAGGGTGGGTGACCTGTGGGCCGGGCGCGCCTGCGAGGCGCGCCGCCGCCCAAGTAAAAGAAGGGGGCAGGGTGGGCTGGCCGAAGTGGCAGTCGTGACCAAGGCGACGGTTGTTTTTGTGTGTGACGTATGTATGTAGATGTATGTAGATAGACAAATAAGCACATACGTGTGTGTGTGTGTACCAATGTGTTGTATGTATGTATGTACGCATGTATGCATGTATGCATGTATGTATGTATGCATGCATGCATGCATGCATGTATGTATGTTTGTATGTATGTATGCATGCGTGTATGTATGTGTTTACGCATGCACGTAGGTATGCATGTATGTTTGTATGTATGTATGCATGTATGGAAGTCTCTATGTGTATGTATGTATGTATGTATGTATGTATGTATATATGCATGTATGTATGTATGTATGTATGCATGCATGCATGTATGTATGTATGTATGTATGTATGTATGTATGTATGTATGTATGTATGTATGTATGTATGTATGTATGTGTGTGTGTATGTATGTATGTATGTATGTATGTATGCATATATGTATGTATGTATGTATGTATGCATGCATGCATGTGTGTATGCATGTATGTATGTATGTATGCATGCTGTATGTATGTATGTATGTATGTATGTGTGTGTATGTATATGCATGTATGTATATGCATGCATGCATGCATGTATGTATGTATGTATGTATGTATGTATGTATGTATGTATGTATGTATGTGTATGTATGTATGTATGTATGTATGTATGTATGTATGTATGTATGTATGTATGTATGTATGGGTGTATGTGTGTAGATAGGTAGGTAGGTCGGTCGGTAGGCAGGTCGGTAGGTGGGTAGGTAGGTTGGTATGTAGGTAGGTAGGTAGGTAGGTAGGTAGGTATGTAGGTATGTAGGTATGTAGGTACGTATGCATGTATGCATGTAATGGCAGTGATGGCCCTCCCTGGCGCGTGTCGTCTTTTCCGGGCCCCCGGAGGCGTCTCGTCGCTACGGCCGGGGGCAGCCTCGAAAACCGGGTAGGGGTGGTCTCCGGAAGGGGTCCCAGCAGCGATTTTGGGAGGATTTGGAAGGGTCGAGGGAGCAGCTTGTGTGTCTTGATTTGCTCTCCTCCTCCTCATTGGCGAAGGAACAACTCTTCAGGTCAGGTGTGGTAGGCGCCTGCTCGGCGCAAAACCCAACGAGAAAACTTTGAGGTTCGCGCACATCCGAAACAACGTGGCGCACTGCCAGCGGGAGGAGGAGGAAGGGAGAGGGAGACGGAGGGGGAAAACAAAGGGATCGACAGGGAGAGGCAAAACGCCCTTATACTCAAGCAAGTTGTGGACGCACTCAGCCCATTGCTGCTTTGGCCCCCCACGTCTTTGCTTGAGAACCCACCTGAGTGGCTCGCGGGAACCACGCTCACAAGTTAAAGCCCTGGGCAGGTTGTCGTGCGGCATGGTAACAATGGCATCGTACAGCTGCGCTTGTTTGCCAGCCGATACCATTCTTAAAGGCAAGTATCCTGCTTTTCTGAAAGCATTGTTTTCCGATATCCCCGAAGCGAAAAACACGGTACCAACATAGTCCTACAAAGGCAGCGGGGGCATGTAATGTGTCAAT